CCTTCCAACTTTCTTTGGGGAGAGCAGAGGCGACAGCCCCGCCACCGGCAGGCCACCTAGGCCCCACAGCCGGCCCCAGCCAAAACCACGGACCAGGTGGCTCACTCTTCCTCCAGGCCCCAGACTCCGGGCGGCAGCCGGAGAACAGGGGTGTGAGAAGACCCCGATCCTCCCTGCGCCTGCTCAAATGTGGTGTTGTTGCGTGTTGCTCTCAGATGTAATTAAGACTGGGAGTACCAAGAGGGGGTGTCCGGCACAGTCCACCCCCCCTCCAGGAGATAGACGGTGCCAGCACACCCCCCCCTTCGACAACCCTGAACCCTCAATGTCTAGATGCGAGAGGGGATGGAGGAGGCCGACCGTGGTGAGACCCATAAAATGAGCCCCCCCAGGTGGCCCTGAACCCCCACCCCCCAGAAAATGCCCTACATAGATGTATGTTGTGAAAATGATGTAGATGGAAGTGTCTAAAATGCAAAATAAAAATGGGGTTGGGGACATCATCAGAAGGTGGGGCCCTCCAGTAACGACCCCCACCCCAAAAACCTACATGTGTGGCAGAGTGATGGAGCAGGCAGAGGGAGGATTTCGGGGATGGGGAGCAATGGACTGGGGTGCTTACTGCACTCCCAGGTAGCCAGCTCCCCCACCGACTCCAATAGGCACCCCCGTTCCCCGAGAGCCCCTCCAGAGAGGGGGGCCCCACCAGTTTCACCACCGTAGCCCGGGGGCATGGGACTGGCAGCAGGACCCACCAGCCAGCTGGGCATAGAGCCGGCACAACCACCCTCCCCCCATCCTGTCCATCCACAAAAAACAAAATAACAAAAAAAATAAAAGAAATAAATAACATAAAAAATAAAAATAATAAAAATAAATAAATTAATTAATTAATTAATGACAATAATAACAAAAAAAAAAAAAAAAAAAAAAAAAAAAAAAAAAAAAAGGAGCCCCCACAATGCAACAGTGGACACCAGACACCAACCCGCCCACAACCGCTCCCCCCAACGAGAAAAAAATAAAAAAAATAATTAATTAATTAATAATTAACGTTAAAATAAATAAAAAATCCCCTATGCAAAAGGAGAAATGCAAGCGGAAAAAACGGAGCCCAAAACAAGACCCAAGACCTGCACCTCACCATGCCATGCAGCTCCCCTCCCTCCTTTACCGATACCACAGAACCGGCATCGGAAAAAGCATCGCCCAGGAACAGGCATCGAAGTGAAGGCACCGGCACCGACACTGAAAATCCCCGAACAACACCCAGCCCCACCCCGAAGTGGATCCAGTCCCGGGCCCCAGGGATCCGAGGCCCCAGGGGTGCCCGACCCCCAGACAGGAGCTCCAAGCTTGAGCTCCACCAGTGCACCAGTGAGCACCGATGCCAGTCAGCGGAGGGAGAGCAGGACGGAGGGAATGGGCTCCGCACTTAGCGGAGACTTGATGTATTTGGAAGAGGGTGCAGTTGAGACCCCAACCTGGGAGAGAAAAAAAAAAAACACTCACAATCTCAATCATGCCTCCCCTCCCGAGTGCCCCCACTCGCACCACAGAAAATAAATAAATGAAGAAATAACCAAAAATAAATAAATAAAATAACAATGTGGACACACATTCACACATAACACTCACATCCAATAATACCAGGACCAAAAACCCGGTGGCACCGGTGGTTGGTCCTGGGACTATCGGATGACCCAATAAGTTAACCTAAAATCCGGATGGGGGGGAGGGGC